CCCCAACCCCAAACCCAAACCCAACCCCAACCCCAAACCCAACCCCAACCCCAACCCCAACCCCAACCCAAACCCCAAACCCAACCCCAAACCCAAACCCCAAACCCAAACCCAAACCCAAACCCAAACCCCAACCCCAAACCCAAACCCAAACCCAGGAGGAAAAGTCTAGCCCTCGCTCACGACCCGAGTATTAGCCACAACTTTAAATGGAACCTGATCTGCTGGAGTTAGCACTAGAATCCATGTTTGGACGATTTTTTTTTTCATTAAAAAAAATACAACTCTTATGTGACAAAGCTTCAAAATTAATTTAGGACTTTTTTCTGGAACAAACTGAGAATTTTACATAATTAAGTCTAGAGTATACAGTGATTTTATTCTGTCATTACGGTTTAAACCCTGTAATTAATAGTTTTTATTTTTATTATCATAATCATAATGATTTATTAAAGGTAGCCAAATTATTGATAATAATAAATTAAGCTATTCAATTCAAAATATATATAAAATAATCATCATCTAATATCTTTTAAGTTAATTTCACGTACAGCCATGTCAATATAATTAACTTGATTCGTCATAAATAGATTCAAAACTTCATGATCATTAATATATTCTTATGTGATTGCTATAAGCCTAAATGTAATTTTTGAATTAGAATCATCAGGACCTATATAATTATATAATTATTATTTAATTCCAACATCTTCTTGAGGGTAAATTTATCCTTTATCCCTACTAATATTAGTTATTAAACATGCTAAATGATTATCTGTTTAACCAATTAATATTAAACTTCTTGCCTTATCCTTAACACATTACCATTTAAATAAAGGACGCTCACCTGGATCTATTAAATATCCATTCTCCCTATTAGACTTATTTTTTTCAGAAAAATTGACTTCTAAACTAAATTAATTATAATTGTCAATAGCTCTCCCTAAGAAATTACCAGCAACTCCTCCAACAAAACCTCCAATTAATCCTCCCAAAAGCACTCCAGGAGGCCCTTAAGGAACACCTAATGCTTTGCCACCTTCAATACCTAAACAACTAATCCCTAATGCACTTCCAGCTTTTGTAGTAATCAAAATAGAATTATAAAGTTTCTCACTTTGGCTCAAAAAATCTGACACCAACACATCTTTAACAGATTTGCCAACAATAAGAGCATTTATTCCGATTCCAACATAAGGTCCCACTTTTTCCAAAGATTTTACACTTGAGGCATAAGCCAATCCACCTTAAACTAAAACAGAAGATGCACCTAAGAGTAGATTTTCTTAATTAACCCCATCAATCATGAAATCAACTGCTACACTTCCTACTGCTCCTGCAATTTATCCACAAATTTAGCCTGATGCTTTGGCATGCTGTAAACGATCTGTTATTTGCATTTTTTTGGGTTGCTTGCGTTGTTTGCGTTGGTTTTATGATATTTTAGTTAATTTAGAAGTCTTTGTAAGCCTAGAATTATGATATAAATTCTTAGAGTGCTACTGAGTTTATCTCTGTTGGATAGCCAACAGTTTACCATATATTTGAATTAGGGTCAATCATTTTAGAAAAAGTCAACTCATAATTATTTAGATTATGATACATTAGCAATTTATTACCATCCTAAAGAGTTGCTAAGTATCCCAATATACCATTCTTATGTTATGCTTATTAAACAGAATTTACCTTTTAAGTCTTAAATGTTTATTAGAAACTTTATACCACAATACCTTGAGATACAGGCTTTTAAAATTAAGATGAACCTATTCTGAATTAAGGATTTACAATTTTTTTATTAAAAACTTTGGTTTGATTCATCATGAAGTATTTTTATAAATGTTACAAATATTCTTTCTCCTCCTCGATATTGATTATTCCTTTTAATACCAATTTGCAAATATTTAGTTTTAAGGATGTCATTATTTCATTAATTTCTCCTAGAAACTTTTTTTAATTGGAAGATAAATCGTCTTAATATTCAAATTTAACTACTTCAATATAGGTTCTAGTGAGACTTTTTATTTGATTCAAAATATCAGGGTGTTTTGAATCATTGAAAATCTTAATTAATTGATTTTGAATCTATTGAAATGCATTCTCGAATTCCTTTTTAATTGAGGAGACAAATATCTTCTAATTTAATCCTTAGTTTATTTGTTCATATGTACAAAATTATAGAAATTCAAAAATTCTTTTACATTAAAAATTCACCAATGTTTCTATTTTAGGCTTTATTTTCTACTCAAATACTGAGTCCCAATATGTCTTTCTTTTGAATGGATCAAGTGCAAAAGCATAGTTATTCCTAACTTATTTGATTGTCACAGTGTAGACTTATTGATTGTTATTTTATTGCTATTAGATCTCTTATACAATAAATTCGAATTATGGGAATAATATTACTTCTTTTTCTTCTGGATATTTGGAGTATTATTATAAATTGAAACACGGATGAGGAATTTCTTAATCCAAAATAATGTTATAAAGTATCCCATAAAAACTACCAGAATAAAATTTTTCTGCAATATTCTCAACTTAAGATGTGCTAGAAATTGTATTCCAAATAATGAGCTTCCCTCATCTTTTGATTAATTTAGATCTCTCATAATTTATTTGAAGATATCTTCATCGTAAAAGGGTATACCTCTATAAAGAATTTGAAATTGATTGGTATTGTTGTAATGTTCCTTAAATCCTTGATAAAGACACAGAATAATGTTTTTAATTGATTAATAATTATGCTAAGCAAACTATTAGTTAAAAGTATAATAAATCTCTTCTCTGGTGTAGAGATAAATCAATTTCTCGAACAATTAGAATTTTTATTTGGTTGATTTTAGTTTTTCTTTTGATTTATTTTCTAAATCTTTAAAAATGGCATGCTTTTTATGTTATTGATTTCCAATAGAAAGCAAATTTTCTATTTCTGCAAAGACCTCTGATTCTGTAAGTGTTATTTTTTTTTTAATTCTTCTATGACAACTAGAAATTAGATGCTCACATGTCCTTTTGAATGTTGATATTTACTTGTTTGCCTTTATGGCGGTGATAATAATTTGATGAATTCATTTTGGATGTCTGACGAATTCATACTCATAATAGCATCCTCATGCGCTTATAAAAAAGAATCTGATACTATAGATTTTATTTAGATATTATTTTTGAATAAGTCAAAATGATTCTATCTTCTTCCACAAAACACTATAATGTTTTATTTTGTGTGTTTTACAAGTTAATAAGCGCATTACCCACTAGTTAGGATAGTTATATCTTTATCGCCAATATTTTACAATAATTCACAAGCCTGAGATATGTCATTACAAGCTTGAAATGCGTTTTAGTAATCTTCTTGTAATTGCTTACAATATAATTAGTTTTCCCAATTAGAAATTTGGCTGTCAACCCAAATAAGAATAGGATGGTCTTGCTTTTGTAATTAATCCATTTATATTAATTCTATTAAAAACAATATTTTATCAATGTAAAAATAATTATTAAAATAAGTAAATTCATTATATATTTTCTTATAATTCTAAAAAAATTACCTTGTTGATAGGAGGAATAAGCAAGTGGTTTATTATTTTCAAAAGCAATAGTAATGGATTTTTGTATTTTTGCTATAACCTTCTCTAGAATCTAAAAAGTTAAATACCCATTTTGAGGAAATTAGTAAATGAGTGTAAAAGATTTTGTTTCATTTTTATTCTGATTTTTACTTTTAATAATGGGTTTTTAAATCTATGATTCAAATTGAGTACATTTTTCATAAAAAAATAAACAAACGAAAAAATTCTTATAGCAATTATAACAAAAGCCACATAAATGTATATAAATGAATAATAATCTTTATGAAAGTGAGTCAATAATATTTCTAAAATCAACAACCAAAAACTTAATTCTAAATATTTATTAGAAAAACAATTCTCTTTATAAAGCCAAAGTTGAAATTAATGGAATTCAACCAAAAGAAAATTTCAGAAAGCACCTATTTTTTTATAACAAAAAAAAATTAAAAATAATCTAAACTTTATATGAGTAAGGATGAATATTCTTTAGATTGAAAGTTGCATCATCTTTTTAAACAAAATAAATATAATAAATTTCCAGTTATGAATAATTATTTAATCTTCCTCAATACAATTTCAATTTAATCATCTATTTCCATTCCATGGTTTTTTTTGTTCTCCTTTCTCTTAATTAAAAAGAATCTGTGTATTTATTTGAAGGCAACTATATAATTGAATTTAGCTCATACTTTCATAAATTATTCTCTGAAAATTAGCATATTAAAATTTGTTTTAAAAATCCAAGATTTTATTTATTAAATTTTAGGCTGATGATGTTTTTCATTTATGTGGTTTTTTTGAAAACAACATAAGCCTTTGAAATATAGGCATTAGATCCATTTTACTAGGTAGCGCATTAATCGGTAAAGATATAAGATGTTGACTTTTAACCAAATAAATACTTTAGCTATGGCATTTGGTCAAAATATACTCCGCTTAGTGCAATACCTAAAACTGGTCCAGTTGGATTGTTTGAAAGTGATTGCTATCACCTTCATAATGTATTCGATTAAGAAAGCAACGAATTAAATCTAATATATTACGACTGTTTAGATTATGAGGCAATGAAAATAACAAAGACAATTAAGTTTGTTAACGATAAAGATGAATAAAAAATATACTAAATTGAGATTGAAATATTTTAATACGAAAGCTTTTGGTATTTCCTGGAGGTGCTTGAATGGCCACTACAATAACGATTTGAAATTTTTATAATATCATAATAGAAAATAATAATTCATAGTATTGACGAGATGAGTTATCCATTCAAGGGAAGAGATCTCTAATTTACTTTTGGAAGTAGTTTAATTGTAAGTAATTCAAGAATAGAATCAATTGAAAAAGGTTAAAAATTCTCATACTTTCCTGGAGCAATTATTAAATAAAATTTTATGATATCAGAAGAACTGACTATCATTGATTGGTTTGATTACGTTAAAAATGTATTTGCTGATTATGAAGTCTGTACCTGTTAACCAAATAATTTTCCAAAAATTTAAGACTAGAATATTGTCTCTTAATAAAAAGGAAATTTTGTTTCGGACAATATAATTTGTGATTCTTTTATTTTATCCGGCTGGGTGAAAATCTCAGAAATAATTAAAGAAGATAGTAAATTTCTATATCCATTTATAAAATTATCAGCTAATTTTGAGGATTCAAAATTATCTAATGATAATTTATCCCCATTTTAAATTCAATATCAATTATCAGATATTTAGAATTAAATTATAGTAACAACTTATAGCTACACTTTCCCTAAGGTATCAATTGATTTTTCTACTGATCCATTTCTAATAAAAAAATCCTTTGATATAATTCAAAATATTCATTTATGGCATAAGATATAAGTAAAATTAATAGGAAATTCAATTGATATTTAAATTAAATTTTATGAGTCGTTAATGATATATGTGTATAGCCTTTAAGTAGAAGTTCATCAATTTCAGTCATTGCAATTAAAATTAGTATATGGAAATATTAAGTAGCTTAATTCAAATTACTTAACAATACTAATGAGAAGTTTCTTTTTTTTAAATTGCGATCAAATTTTTTCTGAACATAATTGTCATAACAGTTGTTATGAATGCGATGGCCCAACTTATAAGGATTGTCTATCTTGTTCAGAAGGATCCAAGAGAACTTATTTGCCCGAACATAAAATATGTGTCTGTCCTTACAATACAGTTGATGATTAAATTTGTATTGGATATTAAGAAACAAAATTAGAGTTTATCGATGAGCCTTTCACAAGTAATGATTGCCAATTTGGTTATTTTGAAGTAGATAATGAATGTGTATAATGGTAATTATTAGATAATTTATAGATATAGTCCTTCAATCATAAGGGATGATTTATTGATTTGTGTAGAATGCTTGTAAAATCCTAAATCTTTTAGCTAAAACCCTTTTTGTGAATATGATTTATATATCAGTCAATCTTAATAGACAGAAAGATTATAATGGACTTTTCCTGATTAATTACTTTTTGATGGAAATGATGTTAGTATGTATCCGTGCATACGGTGTAACTCTGCCGCTGTAAATGATTTAAACTATTTGTACTTGGGCTTGTTATATAGTTCATTCCATTTTACATAAAATTGCCTACTTGAAGACTATTAGTGTCTATTAATAAAGTCTTAATCATGCAAAGAATATGTTTTATCAGTTTTTGGAGTAAGATGTAACAGGTGTGCTGATTATTATATATAAGATGGCATCGATTGTATTATTGTACTTGAAAATATGGAAGAAACTTGTCAAAAACCCTATTACAAAAGTTTTGATAAAAAGTGTAAATTATGCCCTAAAAGAAATTGTATATACTGTTTTGAATACTAAGAAAACGAGTCTTCTTTCAAAAGCACTTTGTATAAAGATTTTGAAGGCTCTAATAGTGATTAAATGATATAAATTGGGTGTGCAATGTGTGAAGATGGCTTTATTTTTGATTTTACATTTGGGGAATGTTTAAGATAATTATCAAAAATTTAAACATGTTTAAGATCATTTATCAATTTTGATGGTAATGAAGTATGTACTCTCTCAAACTAAGATGACTTTAGTGTTGCGCCTGAAATTGTAAATTGTCATAAATATTACTCCAATTGTTTATAATGTGTTCTCACTCCTTCATCAAAGCTACAATGTGTACTCTGTAAAGAAGGTTATGTGAGCTCTATTATAACTGGGAACTGCGAATTGAATTAACTTTCTCTAATTTTTTAGAACAGCACTTATGTAATATAAGGTAGTATAGAGGATTAAGATGGATATGTTCAGTTGATTTAGAGTTTTTTAATGTAATTTTTACCTGATTAATATTATTATTCATACTCTCCAGAATAAATATCATATTAGACAATTAAATGTAAAAATGGGTATGAATTGACGAAATTTTTAATGTGTTATTAATATTGCAGCAGCGAATGCTTAAATTGTTAAACGGATTATTATAGTTTCATTTGCATGAGATGCCCTTTAAATTATTACGGAAAACCTATGTTGGTCGAACTTAATGGACAGTGCATAGCCTGTTCTAATTTATGCTAATATTGTGAATTGAGAAATTAGGATGAAATTTCTGTATTATCTCAATAATATTTTAGGCGTTACAACCCAATTTTGAATTGCAGGAGTCAAATACACAATTTACAACAAAATGTCTAATATCAGTTAAAGATCCTAATATAGTCATAAATCCTAATGTAAGAAATGCTAAATACTGTTTTAACAAAAGCTGTTAAAATTGGTTTTCATTCTCCGTGTATTTTACTGAATGCATGTTAGATAGGTATAATCCTGAAAGTTTCTAAGAGGATATAAATTTTTAATATTGCAACCTAGTAGGAGTAGATTAGATGACGATAAATTATATTATCGCACTCAAAGATGATATAAATATTTGTGATGGCTTTGCTGCAACATTATGGAATGGCTTAAAGAAGAAAATATTATCTCTCAAGAAAACTAATATGAGATTATTTCCAGTTGAAGTATATGAAATGCGTGTAACCAGTAGACTATAAATATTCAACTATGATGCAGTAGAACTCAGCAACATGACCTTTGTTGAGTTTTATGGTTGTAATTTAGAAAATCCTGATAACAAAGTCGATATAACATTAATTCATTTAAATTTCATAACAACTAGCTTTTCTAGTCTGACAATTTTCTAAACTAAAATATTAGGAAATATTGTAATTTAAGATGTTTACTTTTTAGATTCTGTCTTTGTTAATTCAACATTTTTTGATTTTTCAAAGCAAACTGTTTTAGTATCATTTCAAATAAAAAGTTTAACATTCAAAAATTGTCTAATAGAAAATTCAACATTATTTAATATTGACTATATTTAAGACGTTCTAACTATAGATGATATCCTTTTTGAAAATTGCACACTATTGAATTCTGCATTTTTCACGTTCTAAACAAATTTGAACCAAGTAACCTAAATTAAATTAATTAATATTGAAATAACTCAATGTAACTTTGATTATTCCTTTTTTCTGTAAAGCAACAGGTGGTTTGAAATAATTGCAAATAATCTCTTTTTCCACAATAACTATCTTACTAATTCTGCATTTATTACTTTTAATGATAATTTTGATTTAATTAAGTTAAGAACTAGTTATAATACTCTTATTTAATCTTCAATTTTATCAACAATATTGCTCATAAATGAATAAAGGCTTATATGCACAGTGGATGATTTTGAAGATGACCATAGTAATTTTTAAGAATCAAGTTTGATAATTGTTTATCCTAGTATTTAAATCAATAATTTTTATGTTAATATTAAAAATGTAAAAGTTTAGGAAAATGATCTACCTGATAAGTTATATTTATAGAATTACCTATTTAAATTTCATTGCCA